TTTTTTTGAAGCGCGGCCGAAGGCCGCCAGTGCAGAAGGGAGTTCTACGCGAAAGAACTCTGAACACCCCGGTTTTAAGTCGGCCAGGGTTATTTTTTTTGAAGCGGGGTATAATGCTTTTGCTTATTTYCTTTTGTTGACAACTAGGCAGATATGGCAATACCATTTATTTATGCAGTGAATTTAACTAAAAGAAAAGACTTGAAATAAAGCTTTATTTGCAATAAATATTAAAAGAAATTTATATACAAAAACGGTATAGTGAAGTGTTAGTAAGTGAAAAGTGCATAATATAAGTGAAAAAKKTATTCACAATAAACAAATTATCAATTTAAAAGTTGTAAATTTTTTAACTTTAAACGCAAATATCTTTAAAACTATAAGTCAGTGGCAACTATATATATATATTTTCGTGATCTGGAGAACGTCACCTTTCCAATGACACCCATTTTATCCTCGAAATACGGGGATGCTAWTCTAAATTTTACCCAATTTTTTATATATTTGAAAGTGTACAGTGAAATTAAATATATATTAATTGAAAAATGTGTGAAAAGTGGGTTGAACATTTTTGAACTTTAAACATAAATATCTCGTAAAATATGAGTTTGAGGAAGATATATGTGTATACATTTTTTAATCCTGAGGACCTCCTTTAGCCATCCGTATCATCAAATCGCAGCGCCAAAAGAATCGTAATATTGCCTAAATAATTACTAGAAATCGATATATAAATTGTATATTTTTTTAATCTGGAACATCAGCCCTATAAAAACATACCACTTTTGACCCCGAAATCGTGGGATGGAATACTAAAGCCGACACGAAATATTTATGATTCGTATATATTTTAGAAGAATTATYATAATATTATATATGTATTTATATTGTCTACTGATAGTAGTATATTATAAAAGTATTTTTTAATATTAATAGTATTTCAGAGAAATACTGCACCGCTTCACATACATCAACTTATTTAGTTTTTGTTTTTTTTCTTTAGATTAAATATAAATAGCAGATAAGTCCACAACTATTATATAACTTTGAACTTTCATTTTAGCATACCTTGCTCCTTTTGAAGCTTCACCCGATTGACAAAGGTGTATACGTAGCTCCTTTAATTTTGGAGACACTTTAGTCAAACGGACAATAGAAGCACGCATTTTTTAACTCTGGTTGTTAAAAAATGTATATGTTCAATATAAATGTTGTCTCCTTTGTTACTGGGAACTGTTGTTTATATTTTTGACATTTAGAAGCAATTTTGATTGAACAACTTTGTCACAGAGATGTGTCAGATTTATCATCAAGCTCCAGCTTCGTATTTTAAACAATTTTCCGATAAATCGAATATCTTGGAACTCACTCGCGAATTCTATCACAGATCTGTTAGACAGGTATCTGTTATAGCAAAAACATCCACAACGCTACTTCCTTCCTTCATTTTCTTTTCTTAGCGCGCAAAATGTGTTAAAAGTTGAGTCCGTGGTAAAAACGCAGAATTCAGCCATCTTTGTTTCTTTTCATTTGAACAATGTTTCCATTGCTCAATACGCATATATATTTTGTACACATCTAAGTTTTTAATTACAATTTTTTATAATATAAAATATCAAAACTGAAAACAAACTATAAAAGAGTTATTTTAAGAAAACTTCACACATATTGAGGAAAACTTTTATAATTACTGAAGTATATGGAGAYTGGCAACCCTGCGTTTTGAGAGAGCAATCAGCTGACACGTTTCTACATCAAAAACCAAAATGACGTGGATTCCCACGGCATCCTACGGCAAAGAGAGAAGGGAGTAGCGTTTTTCACTGTTCACTCACATTGCGCGCCCATAAGATAATTCGTATCAGCTGACACGGGCCACGATTCTACGTTTCTCACTGTTCCTGCTATTAGCAAACGTCTAAGCGACTTCTCATTGTTCACTTTTGCATACGTTAAACTATTTCTTACTTTCGTTCAGAGAGTGGGTAAAATAGATTAGATAATTAAGTAAGGTGCTAGGTGCCATTGAAGCGATGCGATCCCTATTTGGAAATATGGRTCCAAAGGCCTTTATTCTGCGCCTACAGACTGCTGTGCAGTTTATAATAGGGTGGGTCGATTCCGGACTTTTTTCGATTCGGGATTTCTAATTGTGCGGAAAAGTTGCCTTAGTACTTCCTGATTCCAATGCAACTTTTTGTTTTGAGATCGGATTGCATCTTCTAAAATCGTGAAATTGTCTACCTAGCGCCTGAAATACGCATCTCATGGAAAAATGTATAAAACAAAAGTTATTTGTCACGTCATTTGGTACCGAAAGGACGCACCGTTCCCGAGATACGAGCGAAAATGCGGCGCGTCACAGTGCGAGGTGAAATTGTTGCAGCTCTCAGCTAACCTGTATTGGTCACTCAGAACYCACCGYGTGGAGGTGGCTGCYYTTCGGGTTCCTCCCAAGCCCAACCCAACCAACCAACCATATGTCAGGCTTGTTTTAGTCTAAATCTGTGTCAAATTTATTGATAAAATCAGATTTTGTACTAAACTTTGGCACTTTTTGCCTAGATTTCAGTGTAGAGCATATAAAACGATCACGAGATTGGGGGCCAATAACTTTAGAAGATGCCTATGTCACCCGTTTGACGGTTCTCTCGACTGCCACGGTATGAGAGGGGAATTCACTAAATTCCCATACCTCTGCAGTGTCACCCGACAGCCCTTTTATGAGTTCTTCGTTAGAAACTGAACGAAGAACTGGTGGAACAGTCAAGGTAATTGTCTTCCAGTTAATCATATCGTAACAATTATTAGCTTTGAAATTCAGCTTTGGCACTTTAWTACATCTAACCCTTCCATTTACAGTGTCAGACTCTGCTTCTCTGGCTGCCAGAAGACGGTCAAGGGCCAACTTTCTGACTTCTACCGGTTCGTCAGTCATCATACTAAGGAGAATGTTTTCTGGAAGAGCAAAGAAAGCATTCTGTTGAATGGATGAATCGACAACCTARCGCAGTTTAGCAGGTAAGTATCTCGACCTTTGAGTTGCAGCATAGAGATGGCGCGAGCCATCCTTGATTGAACTGTTGAATCTTATTKAGAACCACAAAGGTGAGTAAACTGTAAGTATGTACTTAACCAAAATCTTTATTTCCTTTGTTGGTTTGTCAGTAGAAATGTATAATCTCAGAATTTTATTTGCACAGGTGAGCCAGCGAGATTTGCACATGTTACCTGGATGCATCGAAGCTAAATCTGAGGAATATTGACCGGAAATAACAGCTTCTGATATTTTATAGAGATAAGCTTGGTCTGTGCTAAGTTGGGTCGGGTTAWTAACCTTAGAAGGTAATTGGCAGGATGGAAAACTTTCAAATTTGACAGCAAGCAACKTCTCACAATCAGGGAGCAGTTTACCTATGTCGCCAGAGAATGTATTTGGACTCTTTGAGACACCATCTATGTGTTCGAAAAGAGCACGAAATGGAAGTTCGTTGAAAAGTAGAAGACAAACAACCCACTGTATTGGCCTACCTATCTTTTCTTCTAGTTTCCGTGAAAAAGCTAGCCTGATCCTCTGTTATCAAACCTGCTTGTTTTTCATCCAGAAAAGCAGATGAAACAATCAAGGCCGCTGCTCTTTCACTTACTCCAAATCTTTGGGCAGCTAAAGCAGTATGTTCTAATACTAGTGTGTTTTGTTTGGTTTTAGAGGATGGAAGAGAAAATTCATCATCAGCATCGGTTTTGGAAGACGCACCTACATTGTTGTCGTCTGTATGAGAGTCTGRCTGAKCTGAATGGTCACGTGTTSTAGCTGATACTTTTCTGGTAAGTGTTGATGTTGAATGACGTTTTGAAAGCTTTTCTTTACGTTCATTTTTCTTTGTAATCTTTTTTGTTTCAGGTAGTTCATTGATAGCAACTTTCCTTTCCTTTGGACAAGTGCAAGAAGAAAAATAAATGCATTTACAAGCAGTGATGTCAAATARTTTTCCGGCAGAAGAAACAAAGTCGTCTTTTTTAGAGCTCAAACCATTTGTTTAAGGGTCAGAAATTTCTTATGGTATGTGGTGAGCATTGGTACAACCCTGGTGTGTAAAACTATCGGAATAGATGACTTTTTGAAAGWATTTTCAACCTTTTTTGCAATTATTTCTGTAATCTCTTTACTCCTAGGTTGATAGTTGTCGCCTCGGAGTCGCCTTATATGAAATCTTTCAAACTGATAACACAAAAGAACATCCTGGTAAGTAGGTAACTGGGATTGGGGAGAGATTGTACGGATATATGCCAAACACAGGACATTTCTGTCTAAATTTAAATTTAGATACAGACATTTTGAGTTCTGTGTTGTGTTGAGAGAATATAAGTGATAGTACTCGGCGAAATCAACGACAAGAGTGAGGGAACTCGATGAAAAAATTTTTGTGTGGAGACCTATCCGAACGTGTCCTTTGGCGTAGGTGAATGAATGTGAGTGATAGCACTCGACGAAATCAAMGTCAAGAAGTGTGGCCGCAAGCCGATTTTCACCTTGCGCTGTGGCGCGCCGCATTTTCAATCATATCTCGGGAACGGTTCGTCCTACGGCGATGATTTCGGTAGCAAATGACGTGACAAATAACTTTTGTTTTATACATTTTGCCATGAGATGCGTATTTCAGGCGCTAGGTASACAATTTCACGATTTTAGGCGAATTTCCGAAATTTCAAGGCCGGAGTTGGGGTTGAAGATGCAATCCGATCGTAAAGCAAAAAGTTKCATTGGAATAATCGGGAAGTACTAAGGCAACTTTTCCGCACTATTAGAAATACCGAATTGAAAAAAGTTCGGAATCGACCCACCCTAGTCTATAAGCAGCTAATCTGGTGTTTCAGACTCTAAGTCGCTGAACCGGCAATTTGCACAAGAATCTAGTCCCATGTTAAATAAGTGCTTTTTGAGCTTGTAATAGCCAGTGTAGAAGGCGATAATTAGCCTGTGTTTTCTCTTGGGAAATTGATTACATGTTTAACCTTTTGAGGTTGTAACCACCCATTAGCAACTGTGCATGGCGCAAGCCTGGAAGTTATTGCCAATTCCTCTCCCTTTCCACTGCTCTATCTTTTTTGAGTAGCTCCGACTGCTGCAAAGCGAGCAAGCTTATCAGTTAGTTCATTCGTCTTCAACGGGTTTAATCCGACACTCTTGCACTTTTCTTTGGCCAGGCCTAGTCCCCTTTGTACGATATCGTAGAGAGTGTCCTCCAATTAACGTCTAGCTATGATAACAATGTCGTCCGCATATCGTTGATAGAGGCTTTCATTAATAGTTAGCAACAAAGTAGTTCGTCCACGACAAAGCTCCACAGCAGGAGGGATAGCACTGCTCCTTGTGGGCAGCCCCTTGTTGTGCCTAGACGAATACTTGTATTACTTACTGTGTGTCAGTCTATTTGCGCACCGGTGGCACCACATTCTCTTTCTCCAGTGCCCTTGCCACGCTTATGAAAGATGTGTTGAGAAAGGCACCATCGATGTCTCCAGTTTCCAGCGAATTCTGTATCTCGAAGGTTAGAAGTACATAGCAGTGTGGGTCGTTAGGGCCCCATGATGCGATAACGGCACCGTTACTACCTCCTGGCTGTAAATCATCCAATGGACACGGCAGTCACATTTCACCCTGGATTAGGAGGTGGTAGCTCTTGGTTGTCGCATGTATACGGCATCCTGCCTGAGCAGTGCAAAGCAATACYTCCCACACCAGTTTAGAGTGTCGAGAATATCTTGCGACTTAAGCCCCTGTTCCGCGTAACAAATACTTTTGTTAGCGAATAAGTTACCCATGTAGTATATAATATGTTACAAAAGTACTTGTTACCCAAATTTCAGTTAGTGTTGTTATTTTGGTTAGCAGTTTGTTACCCTTATGATATAAAAATGTTAGCGTGTTATTAATTTTTAGCAGTAACWAGCATATGTGTTATCTCGATACGTTATTATCAGCCCTATTCTCATACCCTCATAAAAATAACCACCCGCACTGCTGGGGTGATTTCAAAAGCACAAATAGTTAGAATTTCCTTACAAATTTGAAATATCTGACAGCAAACATCACAATGCAAAACTTCTGTCCTTTGTACATTTTACTTCCTTCTAAGTATGGATAAAAATTCAGTTGTATATATTTGTAAGTATGTATGTATTTTATACATGCATGCGAATAAAAAGACATTTATGTTTAAAAAATATGTTGTAATACAGCAACTGCTCCTGAGTTGTTTCTTCATATTTTGAAATCCTTAAAATGAATTAAATTGGTATATATGCGCCAAA